CTCACTATTCTTCATTCTTACTGTGTTTCATACAGTCATTCCCATGCATTATGTTTTGTTAATGTGTCACTAATTTTTAAAACCATAATTCAAACTTAGGTCCTGAAAACTTTACTGAAGTCAGCTATATGTTTGCAAGACAAACCTAATATGATAAGGCTCATTTTTTACAATGCATCTTTCTCTTTTTTTAAACTCCTTATTGTGGTTTGAAAAAGAAAAAGAAACGAAAAGAAAACAACACTGTCAGCCAAGTGGATTCTAACTTACAGGGGTTTTCTTTTGGATTTCCAAGGTCATAACTCTTAATGAGGTAGGCAGGGGGAAACTGCCCAGCCTCCTTCTCTGGAACAGGTGGTGGAGTTGAACACCTGATCTTGTTATTAATAGCATAACATGTTACCACTATGCTTGGAAAACTAGAGAATCAAGGAGAGAAAGAAAGAGCCTAAATAAGATGGATTGACTCAGTGACATCAACAATGGGCTTAAAAGCACAGCAGATATTTTAGGATGGCATAGACCAGTAGTGCTTTGATCTGTTGTACACAGAGTCACCACGAGTCAGAGTGGACTCACAGGCACATAAAAACAGTACAGTGGGTTGAAAGAAAGTGTGCCGTACAGAATAGTATTCCGTTCAGCCCTGCATCCAAATTTTGTTTTATGATACTGATACTGATTACACTCCCTACATTGTATCATAAATCTTTCCAGCATCTCTTTACGATTCTTACTTCCATTCATCTTTCCATCTTCCATCACTACCTTTCTACCTTCTGAGACTTATCCCTGGGTAAATGCTGCCTTTGTGATAGTGGGTGGCTGATTGGTCTAAGGACTGAGTATCTCTTTGGTGTTGTTCATCTTGTAGCAGCTCTCTGTAGTGTTTAACTGCAAGTTGTACTACAGGGCTGAAAAAGACTCCAATATTTTTTTTTAAAAAAACCCCTAAAATTCAGATATGTTCTGTTTATAGACTTGGAACACAAAGCATAGTATTTCTTCCACATCATAATTTAAATGACTGATTTTTCTGCTTGATTTATCAAAGCATTATATAATCAGTAGTGTTTCACATATAAGTATACTATAAATTTAATCATGGAACAACAGGTAGCAAATATAGTTGTGAATATTTCAAATTCCTTAGAATATATATGCTGTTGGTATTTGTATATCTTAAGACATTTGAAAATTTCACTATATTTACTACATATTGTTCCATGATTAAATTTATAGTACACTTAACATGTGTAACATTATTGATCATATAACATTTTGATAAATCAAGTAGAGAAATTGGTCATTTAAATCATGATGTAGAAGAAATACTATGCTTGTGTGCAGAACAGATAATCTGAGAGTCTCAGCTCTATGAGGAGAAACGTGGCACCAGGATTGGAGGTAGACTAATCAACAATCTGCGTTGTGGAGATGACACAATACTGCTTGCTGAAACTGAGGAGGACCTGAAGCACTTGCTGCAGAAAATCAAAGATTGCAGCCCTCAGTATGTATTGAAGCTTAATATCAAGGAAACCAAGATTCTCAACACTGGGCCAATTGACAGCATGATGATAGGTGGTGAAGAGATTGAGATTGTTAACAATTTTGTTTGCTTGGCTCCACAATCAACACTCTTGGTACCAGAAGCCAGGAAATCAAAAGATGAATTGGCATTTGCAAAGTCTGCTGTCAGACACATCTCCAGAGTACTGCAGAGCAATGATATCAGTCTGGAGACTAAGGTGTGCCGGATTCAGTCCAAGGTCTTCACAGTTACTTGCTATGCATCAGAAAGCTTGACAATGACTAGGGATGATAGAAGGAGAATTGAGCTGTGGTGCTGGAGAACAGTATTGAATATAGCATGGACTGCTAAGAGAACAAACAGGCTTGTCCTGAAGAGGGTGAAACTGGGCTGCTTCTTGGAGACAAGGATTCTGAAGCTTCATCTGACATACTTTGGGCACAATGCAAGGAGGGACAAGTCATTGGAGAGGGACATTATCCTTTTAGGAGGGTGGAGGGACAGTGCAAGAGAGGAAGATCTTCAATGAGATGGATTGATTCAGTGACTGGGGTAATGGGGGTAGGTGTGTCAGAGACAATAAGATTGGCTCAGTATAGAACAGAGTTCAGAGCTGTTGTACATATGGTCGCTAAATGTCACAGGCGACTTGACTACACATAACAAAACAACAACAAAACTGTTTTGTAAAGTTTTTCTACCTTGGATCATAGTAGAAAGTGAAGGATTTTTTTGTTATATCCTTCTTTTGATTCATTTCCCCCCTCATTCTCATAAAAGTCAATAACACTTTCTCATGAAGTCTACTTACCACAGTATTATATCTGAAACCTCAGAAAATTTGGTAAAATTTGTCACTATAAAAATACCAGCCTAGGTGTGGTGCTTTCTCAAAAAATTGCAAATAGAGATACCATTTGACCCAGCAATCCCATTACTGGGAATATACCCCAGAGAGACCATGTCTGCCATCCAAGCAGATATAAGCACACCCGTGTTTATCGCAGCTTTGTTTACAATAGCAAAGAGTTGGAAACAACCTAAGGGCCCATCAACAAACGAATGGATAGAGAAGCTGTGGTATATCCATACAATGGAATACTACACCGCATTGAAAAACAAGGAACTCATGCAATATTATTCAAAATGGGTGACCCTGGAGGACATTATGCTGAGTGAAATATCTCAGTCACAAAGGGCCAAATATTGCATGGTGCCACTGTTGTAGAATGGGTCTGACATCAAGGTTGGGGTATGACAGAAAAAACTGGATAAATTATGTATATTATATTGAAACAGATGAGGGAAAGAACAGATTAGAGGTGATATATGATTGAGTAGTATGGTTAGTACAGGAATCCAGAATTAAGGTTGCACAGAGAAGTGTACTCGCGGTGGGAGGTGGAGGGGAAAGGATGGGGGAATTGTATACTAATGAAGGAATTTTTTTTCTTTTTCTTTTCGGAGAGGGGAGCGAACTGGTGGGGAGGGGTGGGCAGGGAGAAAAGTGTGGCAATGAATGAATGGAAATCCAAAACCTCTGTAAATGTCTATTAAAATTAATTAAAAAAAGAATAAAGGACACAACTTTGATGCAAAAAAAAAAAAAAAACACCAGAAAAACAACCCCAGCCTAATGAAATCATGTTATTCAAAGTGTCATTGTAATTTGTAATAAGGACAGCTCTAAAAGTATCAGAACTTTAGCTTGTAGATACATTTTTGTGGGAGAGCTGGTCTTATGAAAAATGTTTTGCTATAGCACTCTCTCTCACTCATTGCCTTCAAATAGGTCTCACTCACAGCTGATCTTCCAATGGGTTTCAGAGGTTGTAAATCCCACAGGACAAGATTGTCCGTCCTTCTCCCCATGGGCCGCTGGTGAGTTCAAAGCTCCAGAGATGAGCAGCATTTTTTGGTTAGCAGTGCAACTCCCTTTAGCCACTGTTGTTGTGTCCCATTGAGTCTGAATCGACCCATAGCTGACCCTCCGGTGGGTTTTCAGAGGCAGTTAGTTAATTACCCGGAAGGAGATTGCCCATCCTTCTCCCATGGAGCAGCTGGTGGATTTGAACCACATACCTTTGGGAATGCAGCAACTTCTTGCCTCTATGCCACCAGTGCTCCCTCTCTAGCCACTAGAGATGAGGAGTGACTGCTGCAACGCGCTCTTGCGTGTCAGGAAGTGTGAGGATGGCGCAGGACAGGACTAGTTTCAGTCTTGTTCATAGGGTCGCTATGAGTCATACTCGACTCAATGACACCTAACAACAACAACAACTTCTTTCCGTTTGAGTATTAAGACGTGCCTGATTCAGTACATGGTCTTTTCAAGTGCTATACTGGAGGATGAATAAGGATGACAGAAGAATTAATGCCTTTTAGTAGTGGTGTTGGAGAAGAGCACTGAATATCCAATGGATGGCCAATAAACAAACAGAACTTTCTAGGAGACAGTTATGCTGGAGTGGAGGCAAAGGTGGTTAAAACTTTCTCTCACATATTTTGAGCATATTTCTAGGAGAGGTATTCCGTGGAGAGTAATCATGCTTGGAAAGTTGGAGGGTTGTTGAAAAGAGGAAGACCTTCAGATGTGTGGACACAGTGAGTGCATCAATGGGTTTGAGTGTCTCAGGGATTGTGAGGATGGCACTGGATAGGACAGGGTTCAGATCTGATGTTCATAGGGTCGTTCTAAGTGGTAATCAACTCCACAGTACCTAACAACATCACTGGCTAAGGAGGGGCAGTGTTTCAGCGTGCTGTGCTGCACAAATGCAGAGCAAACGCCCTGTACCCTGGCTAAACAGAGCACCTGACAACAGGACAGGACTAGATGGTTCACTCTCAGGTTCAACTAGGTAGAGATACAGAATATCAGCACTAAAGCAGAGAAAGGAGGGTTTTCAGAGTGAGAAGCTTGATAACTGGCTAATTAAGAATGAAGCTGCATAAAAGTTCCTTTAGTTAGCACGAGGGCAGAAATGGGAGTCCCGTCTTCATCTGCATTCTGCCTGCGCTCTGCCTCTGCCCACCCAATTTCCTCCTTCCTCACTTCCCTGGCCCAGGCGGTGGGTGTTCTCAGGGGTCCCAGTGAGCACCCTCCTGCTCGCCCGCCCCTTCTAGGCTAGGAGCTCTCCTTTGCCTGCACTGAGCGCTCCCGGGTAGAGGGCAGCCCCGCCCCGCGTGGTCCCACAGCGCCTCCCAGTGGCGCCCTGCTCTGATCGCGGGCCCCAGTCTCGTGCGGGCCCTTCCCGCTCTTCCCTCTTCCTCTGTATTTAACCCTCTGGCTATTGGCCTCTGGACTTCTTCTGCTGGCATCTACTGGCTCTACCTTGCTTTCCACTTTGCCAGTCTCTGCCCCTGCCCCTTTCCTTCCAGCGCCTCCACCTATTGCCCGGCTCGCTCGCGCTCATCCTCACCCTTCCCTCCCTCCTCCTACTCTCCCAAGCTCACTGATCTTGGAGCCAGCAGGCTGCACGCCCAGCCGAGCCGTCTAAGCGGGAACAGCTCTACCGAGGGAGCCGCAGAGCAGAGGACCGTAGGTCTGCAGGTTGACTAGGTGCCGCAGAAGGAGTTACAGCAGCGAGCGCCACCAGCTAGGAGGTCCCGAGCAGCAGCATGGCCCGGAGAAGCGCCTTCCCCGGCGCTGCACTGCGCTTCTGGAGCATCCTCCCGTGCCTGCTGGTGCTGCGGGCAGAGGCTGGGCCGCCGCGGGAGGAGAGCCTGTACCTGTGGATCGATGCTCATCAGGCCAGAGTTCTCATAGGTAAGGGTCCCGTGTCCAGCACCACGTCCAGCTGTGCCTCCATTCTGCCTTCACTCTTCTATTAAAGGAGAGGATGCAAGATTCATCTCCAGAACTTCATTTCAAAGATGATTGCTTTCCACTCCTTTACTATGACTTCCCCCCACGTGAAGACTTATAAACCATCTATATTTAACTGACTCTAGCATTTGTTTGCATCAACTTCATGTGTCTGCTGTATTACTCTTATCACATACAAAATGAATCTCATTAGGGTGGTGGGTGTCAAAGGCAGGTGTTCTCTGTTAAAAAAATGACCCATCTGCAGTTTCTTTGGTTTTCTTTTTGAAACTTCTAATTTGAATTCGCTCAAGGCCACTCAGTTTACTAGTGGTGTTGGTTTCTTAAAAACAGGATTTGAAGAGGATATCCTGATTGTTTCAGAGGGGAAGATGGCCCCCTTTACACATGATTTCAGAAAAGCACAACAGAGAATGCCTGCTATTCCTGTCAATATTCATTCTATGAATTTTACCTGGCAAGCTGCAGGGCAGGTAAGTGCTGAGAGATGAAACAGGTGGAGAAAGTTACCCTATGCTATTTCCACTGCCGATGGATGTAGAAATATTATTGTTAATACTTACATTTGGTTCCTTTTTTCAATTCTTAAGCACAGCTTTTCTCCATCTGATCTCCAAAGCAAATAATGAATTCATAACCATGGATTGAGAGTTGTCACATAAGTTAAAGTTCTCAAAAGAGAAAGGCAAGAAATGTGTCTAAGCCCTCTATTTTGAGAAGAGTCCATGTCTTCAGGCTATTGGAATGATAAAGAACTCCAAGACCAGCATTGCTAGTTATTATGAATACTGACAATAAAATTTAACCTATATTGGAAAGATTCTTTTTCATAGTAAGTAATAACACTTAAGACATCATTTATACTGTATAACAAATTTTAAAGTCTAGAAATACTTTTTACATTATGCAAAAAAAACCCCCTCTACTCTGTTGAGTGTTACTCACTAGAATAAGAACACTATATCTTTCTGGGCAAAGTTCAAAAGCTCAAAAGAGTATCAGAGAAGAAAGTTTATAAAATATTTCAGGCTATGGGTGGGTTTGGGGGTTTTTTGTGGGCTTTTTTTTTTAAATTGCCACTTTAAATATTTTCATATGGGGAAAGAAAACTAAAAAACTAAAGAAAATTAAAGAAAAGCTAAAAAGAAAACTACACTCATTTTTGTGACGATCCATTCTCTTTTTTCCCTTAGCACATGAACATTCTGGTGTGCTGGGTTATATATATTTTCAGTATATAATGTCTAATTTTGGAAAGAGAGAAAAAAAATGAAATGCTTATGTCAGTGTAATTTCTTTTGTGCAATTGGAAAATTTGAATCTAGAAGACAACTAGGAAATAATGAATCCTTTTGCTCATTAGCTGGTTAAATGTGACTACTATGAAAATCATGGTAATTAAAATCACATTTCCAGGTCTCTTCTAGTAAAAAATATATATAAGTTAATATATTTGTGGAGAATGTGATCCAGAAAACACTTTGTAAAAAAGAACTATTTTGAATAGAGAAACTATTTTGGTACCCTCTAATCTACTGTAACAATGGGCTCAAGTATATCAGAGATGACGAGGATGGCACAGAACAGGGCAGGATACATATCTGCTATTTATAAGGTCTTATTGGGTCATGATCAACTCAATAGCACCTAACAACAACAACAACAATCTACCTGTTGTAGAATGGACTTGGTCATTTTAACTCTTTTGTCAGGTCCTTTCACTATTTTTTTCTCTTCTAAAGCATATCAAATATAGACTTCTCTTGTTTCCACTGCCTTATCATTAAAAAAAAATCCTAATTTTAAGTCATTAAGTGCATGACAGGATATCATCTCTTCTGAGGCCCCATTTTGCAGACCACTTCACTGAGACTTCTGATGCTCTAGAAGTCCTTTTTTATACAATATCCTCTTCCTAGATTTGTTGTTGTTATGTGCCATTGAGTCGCTTGGGACTCATAGCGACCCTATGTACAACAGCCCTAAACTCTGCTCTGTCCTGTGCCAGTCGCACTGTCTCTGACACTCCCATCCCCATTACCCCAGTCACTGAATCAATCCACATCATAGAGGGCCTTCCCCTCCTGAGCTATCCGTCCACCCTGCCAAGCATGATGTCCCTCTCCAAGGACCAGTCCCTCCTTACAACATATCTAAACATGTTGTACGGAGCCTCAGAATCCTTGCCTCCAAGGAGATTCCCGGTTTGACCCTTCCCAAGATGAATCTGTTTGTTTTCCTAGCAGTCCATGGTACCCTCAATACTCTTTTCCAGCACCACAGCTCAAAGGCATCAATTCTCCTTCTATCCTCCCTAGTCATTATCCAACTCTCTGATGCATAACAAGTGATAGCAAAGACCATGGTTTGTATCAGACGCACCTTAGTCTCCAGAGAGACACCATTGCTCTTCAAAACTTTGGAGAGGTCCCTAACAGCAGACTTTCCCATCTCAATATCTTCCTAGATACTATTGGAATATTAATTTTAAATATTGTAAAATCAGTAGTAAATCAATGAATAACATTATATTATGTCCTTTTATTCTTACCTGGCTCTATTTACTCCTGGATCACCATTGATCATAATGGTCTCAATACTAATTCTGTATTTTCAAAACTAAAATTTTGACCTTTCTAGTTCCAGAGAACTACTGAGGTAGCTTGAGTTGCAATACTCTCACTAGCTGAAAGAGCATGGTGACCCTATGAGAAGCAGAAACAAAGCCCCCAGCATATTTTGCTTATCAGTTTGTATTTTGAAGAATGGAATTTGAAGCAAAAGCTTAAATTCCATTTTATCTCCTCTGCTGCTTTGTAGCTTAGTGTATGTTTGTAAACAATGGCATATTGCTTAGTATTAAGTGAACTAGACATAGCAAACAATCACAGCCATTTCTTGGAGGGCATTAGGAAAGATTTTAGAACTGGCATGGAGATGAGACATGTGACATCTCTTTCTCTCTTGCTGTATATTAGTTACTCATGTAGATAATCTTATTGTTACCTCTTTCTATCTACTCTTTCTTCCCAGGAGAGATTTTCCAGATGAAATCTGATGTCAAACTTTTGGGAAAAGGGGGGCTAAAGAAGGTCTACACAATGTCAAGGAGCAGGATGTTTTAAAACACTGCTTAAACATGATGGTTTTCATGCAATAGTTATGTGATTCTAACAGCACCATAATTTTTTTAAATGCATGGAAATTTTGAAGATGGGGAAAAATAATTACTTCAGTACACCAATTAAGTATTTTGGAAGGAACCAATGGCTAAAACTAAACCACATCAAAACATTTACATGGAAAATGAAAAACTCATCCCATTTTCCAATTATTTCATCCAAGTAATATCAAACACTTGGGTACTTCGGAAGCTCTGGTGGTACAGTCCATAGAGACTCGTGCTCCCAAAGGTGATACTTCTCTGGTGGTTCAAATCCACCAGTGGCTGTGAGGGAGAAAGATGGGCATTTTCCTCTCATGTAATTTACAGCCTCTGAAAGCCTGCTGAGTTGATTCTGACTTGAGGGCAAACGTTTGCATATTTTTTGAGTTAGGCACTTAGCTATACATAAGTAAAATTCAGCTGGCTAGTGAAATTATAACTCCCCCCCCTCCCCAATATGTGGGATTTTAGGACTGAAGAGCTAGCAGAGGAGACAGGAAGATGATGTCTTACATCAATACATTATTAGTCCAGTAACTGAAGATGTTCTTGAGCACATTTAAAATGTATTTCATGTTTGACTTCAAACAAATGGAAGTTAAAATCACAGTGGTGCTGTTTCTTCTACATCTGGCTTGCCAGAATTTGTAAAAGTGTTTTTAGAATGTTGAGATATGTGTGTTTTCATATATTCCTGGTTTGCACATTATCCTCTCTATAGGCCAATTTTTGTTAGCAAAAGACTTGATGTAGATCCTTTGAATGGGACACTTTTCTACTAGAGATTCCTCCACAAGAAATAACCATGGCTATGCATTAAATGTCATGTACAAGAATGGTCTTCATTGTGGTGTTCATATAATGACAAATGGATACAATCTAGAGATCTAGTGATATGAAGAATTAGTAAGAGTAATACAGACATTTCTTTTATGTCATTGAAAGATGCTTGCCAGCAAAATAGGTAGAATATTCTATAACATAGTGTATGTATTGTGTTTGATTTCATTACAGAATTGGCAGACAGGAAAAATGTCTTCTCTGCCAAGTTGCTAGCATTGATTAGATTCACATATTTTATTTTCTGATTTGTCCACTATGAATGTGTATTGATGTGTTGTTTTTTTAAAATGACAGATTATTTGCCATTTAAGTTATTATTTCATTAAATGTGAATGGAAAAATTGTACTTTAGAGTTTAAAAATGTATGTTTTTATTTTTTCCAATCTAATTGTCACATCATAAAATATCTGTATTTATTTTCCATCCTAATTTTTACATTATGTATCACTCAACAGTATAGCAAAACTAATTATTTTTGTGATTCTCATTCATCAGTCCTCTTTAAGGTTCCTAAAAACTTGGTCTGAAAGGCTTTCTTGCCTGAAAAAATCTTTCCTGACAACTTTCCTTCTGTCTCCCTTAGAGTCTCATTTTCCATAGGAATTCTTACCTCCTCTTTATCTTCTATTTAAAAAGCATATTTTCTGATTTGCTTTTTACTAAGGCTTTTTGATAGCAGAAAGGTTTCTACTGAAAAGCCTGTAAGGGCTTATGGGGGAGGGGAAGGGGAAAATGTTCTGTATTATTTATATAACCTTTTACTAGTTGATATTTTTAAATGAAGCATGCCTCATTCTAATGTTTCCCTACATTTGAGATATTATACTTAGGCAGAGACTGTGAACAGCCATGTTGGCTCCTAAACTAACTACTAATGAAACATTTTATTTGGAAAACTGACCTTTTTGAAACACAATGACTTGGAAATAAAAATTTAACAAGACATTTCGCTAGTCAAATCAGAATTCTAACAACAGGACACTGCTGCTGATTTCCACATGACCCAGTCTGGTCTGAGGCCAAAAGTATTACATTGATGTGTTTTTTTGCCTTCATATAGACTTGATCTTAATATGTATTGCGTATGCTACCACTTGCATAAGAATGCTAAGGCTTATCACTTTAATGCTGTGTTAATGGAGCATCTCTTCTTATGTTGACATTTTTAGCAGTGGTGACCACTCCTTGCTCGACCAATCTGTATTAGTTTTCCATCCGCTTTGTGACCAAAGGCCTGCATTTCTGAGATTGTTGGGATGAAATGTGTGTCCATTGGTTAGAAATTCTCTGAGTGACAATAAAGTCACCTCAAGTCTGCCTGTTGTATTGCTAAGCACGTTCAACCCATCTGTATCAAGTATAGATCATAAAGGAAGCTTTTGATTATGTATAATGTGAGACATTCTTATAACCACTAGAAGTCAGTATGTAGCTTTATTTTTCTCAATATCAAGAGGCTTTAA